CTGTGGCCCATAGATATCTACATCTATCCTCAAATGCAGATCGAATCAAAATGCAGATGCGTTGTCACCCGTGAGGACTAAGATGGAACGCCTCGTTTCCAGTAAAAAGGGTCACCGGTTCTCTACACTCACCATACGAAATACAGCAGCATTAAGCTACTATTTCACGCTGGTATTCTGTGAGAGCGTGGTCCTTCCCCGGTCGAGCCGACCCATTCGTGCTACAACTATACTACTAATATAACTGCAGCATGGCTCTACCACGTACCACTACTACTACCAGAGAATGGAACCCAGATTCCTAGGTAGAAAATAAGTCCTATCACCTAAATCCTTGATGTTTATTGATTAAAACTACTTTTACGGATTTTATCGCGTTTAATTTTACTTTTAATTATTTTTAGTTTAATTGTTGGGGCCTTCTAATATATGATCACAAACTGCAGATAAATCCTAGACGGCCCCAACCATTACATCAGATTTGATAGATCACAAATCCCCGCGAAAGAACACCGATTCCTTCCAAGGATGACACGTGAGGCTTTTGAAATTAAAAAACATCCTAATTTCAATAGAGAAGGATGGCTGGGTACTGCCACCTGCTTGGGACCCTATAATCAATAAAATTAAAACTAAACCCAAGCATACCACTGCAAGACCTCAGGACATAATCAGTTCATTTTGCATAGATCGGACCATAAACAATAATTAAATAAGCTGAAGGTACTCCGGGTTTAACAATGACATCGGGACGTCAGTCACCTCAGTCCCCCGTGACCATGGGTGATGGAAAGCACCCGAAACGTCGAGAATTAAAAATAAAAATAATTAAAAGTAAAATTAAACGCGATAAAATCCGTAAAAGTAGTATTAATCAATGTGTAGTGTTCGCGTAAATATAAGAAATCCTTAATGTTTAATCTTCGAATACAAGCAGCATTGCTATATGAAATAGTAAGTGTTCATTAATCTTAGAAAAAAAATATTTCTTTTGACATGTTCATAGACATGTGAAATTCGCCAATACGTATCGGGCTTTGAGTATTCAACCCACGGAGCAAATATAAAGAGGAGGTGTTATAATTAGATTTCACTATGTAACAACCACGGAGCAAATATAAAGAGGAGACGGCCTAAGCGACTGTGCACTGTGCAGGGACTTAAATAACGTTAAAATACAGTAACGTTATTAGCGAAAATGCGAAATAACGTTATGTTTAAGGGAAACGATATTACAAAACGATATTATGCAAAGCTTTGCATGTGTATAACGTTATAATTACGTTACAATAAATATGTCAATTAAACGTTTCTAGAATATTGTTATACAAAGTATTAACGTTATTATTTATTGTTCTATGCCATCTCTTTTACTCGTATGTTCGTTCTATGATCTATCGAACGCAGTGCTCTAAAGCTTATCGGTTCTGTGATCATCTGCGCAGCAATTGAATTATCAACTGAGATAGATTTTACATAAGTACATACAGCTCGGAAGTCGGAATATCAAAGGTAAGATAATTAAATATTTTTACATGTTTCTAATGTCGTGCCCTGGCTTTGCACGGGTGTAATTTTAATAGCTTTTAGTTAACTTGCAATGTATGTAACAATGTTTGTTCGGGTGGAATCACGCAACTCAGTTTTGAAGCAGATATTTTTAATCGTTTGAGTTGTAACTTTAAAAAAAAACGTTTAGCTTTGTATGCACCAAAGATGGCAGATTTATTATTTTTAATGCACTCATACAATATGGATATCAAATGAAAGGGCTTGCTGAGAATAACTCGAAAAATGAAGTAATAATAATAATTATTATAATCTTTATTGACATAAAATTTGTTATAATATTTTTTAAGCCTCTGACTGCCGAGCTAGAAAAGTCAGTGATTTCCCTAATATAATGACAGTTAATTATTTTATGTAAGTAAAGCAATTTTAAAATATATGTGTGCGTGTGTGTCTATGTGTGTGCGTGTACGTGCGCGCGCCTGTGTGTGTGTGTGTGTGTTTGCTAGCGGCTGGGTGTGAGTGTAAGTGTAGGCATGTGTGATAAGCATGAGTGCGCGTGAGTGTGCGCGCGTTTGCATGTGTTTGTGTGTGTGGTTAAAATTTAAGATTTAAACAATTTTTGAAATATCGATTCAGTTTGATCATAATCTAATCCTAATAGCCAATTCCTAATTTTAATTTTCACTTTTCTACTATTCAAGGGATATATATTTGTTAACTCATTAATTTTGTTGTATAAATAAATATACAGCCTTACTTATAAGCATGTTGCAGTCCGGCAGAGGCTGTTTGACATATTACTGGTAAACATAAATTTTTATAACCCGGTTTTTGTTATAATCAGTGGCGTTATAAATAGCCAGCCAGCGATAACTAAAAGTTAAAAAATAAATTAAAAGAAATAAAACTTTTTTAAAACAAATTTTTATTTAAAATGCGCTAATATGGATAAAATAAGCTTTTCTTTTAAAAATTTTATTATCAACTTATATCGTCATTACACAATTCATATAATATAAAATCTTGATGAATAAATGAATCAATGAATATATGTTATTGTACACCACAAACAAATTTACAAATAACATAACACAAAGCAGATTATATGTACAATTTTGCGGCCTTATCGCTACATAGCGATCTCTTCCAGGCAACCAAACCAAAGGTGTAAAGGAATAAAACAATGAATACTAGGTAGGTGGTGTAATATAAATATACATAATATAATATCAATACATGCGACGTATAGACAATACATGAAATGATATAATCTAATAATACATAATAAAAGATAAAGTAAAACATATAATATACCTTATGTACATATATATAAATATATAAAAAACTTACATATCTACATAATTATGTACATACCTACACCAATAATACCTACCTACACCTATGCCTCAAACAATAATGTAACGCAGATAAATACAATAAATACATACCAGAAGCAGATTTTTCACGCTTTATAGGTGCGCATAAAAACAATTTTTTTTAAATTCATCATGAAAGTTAAAGATTTTTTTTAGTGAACACGAAACAACTACACACACACGAAAACACGATTGACACATTTTGGCTCGATAGAAAAAGATCGCAAAGTTTCCTCAAAATCTACAATTTTAGGTACGCCCACTAAGTGAAAAAGTTGTTTCATTCGAATGTAATAAAATCAATTTTAATTAAATTCAGGCTATATGTTCACCAGTAAATACGTGAGTGAATTATGGGTTTATTTTTCTATAAGAGTATAAATAATTTAAAAAAAAATATATACATACAATTTAAACTTTGTGCTTAACGTATATGCAAAAGTAGGGCATTCCAAAGCTTAATAGAGATTTTCGCGCTTGTCGCGAGATTTACGGTGTAGATATAGGTACAAGTAAATTAAATAACTCGATCTGATTGATTTTGGTAAAAGTCCTAAAGTAAGTTTAAACATTTTCAAACTAATTAAATACGTAAATCTCGCGACAAGTTTTTGAATCATATAAATTATTGTGTAATGACGTTAATAAGTTGATAGTAAAAGTTATAAAGAAAAAGTTTATTTTATTATTTTTAGTGCATTTAAATAAAAGCTTGTTTTTAAGAAAGTTTTTTACTTTTTAATTATACTATTAATGTTTAATAATAATTTATAAGCCTTCCGCAAGACATTCTCTAAACTACAGTGAAAACTGTATCAAAATTTGTTGCGTGACTAACGACTAGTTTCAATATCCTATCTATCTGTGGATGAATTTTCTTACTTGAGTCTGGAGGTAGAATTTCAACGTATTTTTGATGGAGCTAATGTCAAATACCTATCTGTAACCAAACCCACGGATAGACAGAATATTGGAACCGGCCGTTACTGAAGTTGTCGCTAGCGTGGTCTTGATCTAATTAGGATACCTAAAAATGGATAAACAAAAATCTGCTAAACTGAATTATTAAGGTCTCTATATCTTTTTAGTTTTAGGTATGAAGCGAAGCATTACTCCTGAAATAATGGACTCAGAAGCAAATAATCGTCCAATATCCCCGTCATTGTTACGGCCTACAAGATCCAATATAAAAGAAGATAAGAATAAAACACGTTTAAGAATTCTAACTAAGTCTGAATGTTGTGCTACTTACATCAACGACGATAGAAGGAATGAATACTTTACCCAATTACTAACTGAAGAGCTAAAATATATTAACCCATGTATGAGAACAAGATGTTACATCAAAATACTAAACTTTTTGAACGAAGTGAAAAATTACCACACAAATCAAATAGAGAAAACGGACACGGAAAGAATATAACCTGCAGGGCTTAACCTTATAATGAGACAAGGAATACTTTGATACATTGCATTACAAATTTAACTAACTGATTAACCAATGCAGGGAATTATAATAAATAAAAAATGATACCTAGGTAGTTGTTTAATTTTTAATTATTTTAAATGAACTCAACTTTAAGCGATTTTTAAACAATCAATAATAATAAATAAAGTAGTAGGTACTTAAGGTAATGATAAATTCAAACAAAGAAAATAAACGCAAAACAGATTGTAAGTAATTATAATATAACTAGCTTTAAACATATTAACATTACAAACTAGCTTTAGTTTGTAAAAAAACATTTTCCAAAGTGTAAATGGGGAGGGGCAAATATCAATGGGGCGAATTTAATAAAAAATGTAAATGTTAAATTGAAAATCTTATTGTTCGTTTATAATCATAATTTTACAATCTTGCTAGTTATTTATAATGTAAAGTAACGATCCGCTAACATACATAATATTTTTTGTATAATGACTACCCATAATAAACATTCTGTTATTGATATGACTGGTATTAGTTTAACCCTAGTTTTTCTACTTATTATGATGTACTTTGTTCAGTTAACGATATAACTTGTAACAATGCACAAATAAAATATCCTCTATGATATCGTCTTTTAAATTCATCCTCAAATCGGAAACTATGAACTTTAACGATGAAAAAAGTCATTCCACACTAACTTGCGTTGCTGGTACACTTAATGCAACACGCGCCAATTGATATAATTGTGGATATATGAGCTGTTTTTCTTCCCAGAATTTTAAAACGCTTTCCGACGACTTAAGAAGTGGTTCTTCTAAAAATATTTTAAAGGATGCTTTGAGAGTATTGGTTATTTCACCAGTTGGATCGCTCCTTCTTACTAATGTTGAAATATTATGAACATGTTTTTCTATATAGCTATAATTTAAGAAATCCTCCAAGCACTGACTTGAACCTGCAGCTTGTATATCATTTGAGGTAGATGGCATATTTTCCGTTTCGAGTCTTGAACAAATATGTGTATTCTTCTGATTTGCTAAATTCATTTTCTGAATATGGATATATAAATTTATTAAATTTGTCTGTGCAATACCTTGTTGTTCATTACTGAGAGTAGAATTTACTCTAGGATCTAAATAAATAGCATTTAGGAATGCATTATTGTCAAATAAAACATTTTGTCTGTGTTTCATGTAACAAATAATCTGTTTAGCTAACGGAGTGTTAATTTTTTGCAGTTCAAATTGACATTTCATCCATTCGATATAAAAATCACCCATTGTAAGCTGTTCTTTTTGCAAAATTTTAGTAAGCTTCTTTCCTGGAAGCATAGATTTAAAAAATAAATCTAGATCATTCCAGGTCTCATCAGGTAAATACAGGAGTTCACTTGTTGCACATATATCTTTTAAGTTTAAAATACTTTCTACCATATCTATGGTAGAATGCCATCTCGTGGAGCAATCTAATGAAGGTTTCTTCTTCCTTTTTTCTCTCAAAATTATAGAGAATGTTGGTGTTCTAAGCCGTTTTATTATATCTCGGGCACTGGTTATAACGCTTTGTATGATATTATCATTGCAAGCATCTTGCATTGCGAGTTGTAGGGTATGTGCAGCGCATCTGACTACTGAAATGGCAATGTTGTCCTCATCATCTACAATATTTAATTGAAAATGTGATATAGATTGCCTTATTTGGTCATTAAAATAATTTTCTGTTTCATGATCGACATCATCTGCGTCCGATTCAGAATCAGAATGTGTGATATCATCTAATTGACTGGAACTGCTATTGAATCGATCATCTTCTTCAGGATTATTATTTTCGTTGTTATTTTCAATATGAATAGCTTCGGCCGCAAATAATCTACTCATTTTTAATATGTTTGCACCATTATCTGTAGTTATACAATAAACCTGCTTGTTGTAGATTCTAAAACGCCGCAAAATGAAAATTAATCTTTCCTTTAAATGTTCAGATGTATGTCGTTTAAACAGTTCAATTACTGCAAGATTTCTAAGAACAATTTGTCCATCCTTAACATATTGAGCATTGACCCCCATAAAACTACGATTCGACAAGGAGGCTACATCCACTTTGAGGCATATATGTAAATTACGCAACTCATTGGCTAAATTTGAACGTAATTGGTCAGCAGTATCTTTGAGAGTACATCGTACATTTTGAGAGTTAATCGCCAAGTTAATGTTTGGTATCAGAGATATAATATTTTGAAAAGCCTGATCATCGATTAAAGTCAATGGACGTCCGTGAACAGTAACTAAATTTGTACACTCCTGAAGTAATGTATCCCGCGTACTTAATCTTGGGTTTTTAGCCAAACTGTCACTTTCTCTATTCAGTATTAACACTTCCTTGTGCTCATTTTCATGGTATTTGCTTAAATGCTTTAATAGATTTGCACCATGTAGGGTCTGTAAAGAAATAATTTCAAATATGAAAGGAAATTACTATGCGGGTGACTAAAATTTTAATGGAACTAATAGTTGTATTTAATAACATAAACTGTCACCATTAAACATTTCAGCCGAATTCAAAAAAGAAGATATCAATTCGACCTGTATGTTTGTAATATTATTGGAATTGCATAATATTCGAATAATATGTTAGTATATATGGGTTTTAAACACATGTGTAAAATTTGGATGTATTAAGTATGTATGAATGTCTGTATGCATGTTTGTCCATGATGTACAGTGAAACCTGGTTAAGTGGGACCTGGATAAGTGAGAAACCTCCATTATTGAGAACTACAATGAGGTCCCGGCACTTTTTCATCGAATTACCTCTGTTAATGGGACTTTTCGAACCAGGTTAAATGAGATTTCATTTCTAGGATTTTTTCAATGTAATTTACCTCTGTAATTGGGACTCTGGAGTTCAATTCCCTTTATAAGTGAGACAATTTATCAAGTTGGGGCAGGTTTCGACACGATTGTTTACAAACATTTGAATTTATATCATAAACTTTACTGTATTGTACTATTTTTTAGTATTAAATACATACACTTAAGTTACTCGTATAACACCAAAATACGCATTTTCATTTCGATTTTTACAAACATTTGAATTTCTAGCATAAACTTTACTGTATTGTACTATTTTTTAGTATTAAATACATACACTTAAGTTATAACACCAAAATACGCATTTTCATTTTCATTTTTACTTTTATATGTAAATGGAATAACGGTACACAGCGACCTCTATAAGCGGATGCCTCTGCAAATGAGACAACTAAATTTTGAACCTGTCTAATTGGAAAACTGGATAAACGAAAACCTCTTTAAATGGTACAAAATCCTTGGTCTCTGGAGATCCCAAATAACCAGGTATTTCTAATGAACTATGAACCCGATTGATTTATTCTACCGGGTAAGTTGTGGAGAGCCATGCTGGAGCTATATTAGTAGTATTTTTGTAGCACGAATTGTTCGGCTCGACCGGGGAAGGACCACGCTCTCACAGAATACCAGCGTAAAATAGCAGCTAAACGCTGCTGTGTTTCGTATAGTGAGTGATCGTGATCATTTTTTATTGATTTTAACTTTAGGATTATTTGCTTACATTTATTTCAAATTAGGAAATAATAAGGATTTCATCATAATTGGTTCACTAGTTTTATGACATTGACTAAAACGTGTAACTAAAACTGAAAAAGTTTTTCTAATATGTAATAATTACAACTTAAAACTAAAAATTGCGATATAAAATAGCAATTTAAAAAAAAATTAAACCAACTTCAAAAAAAAGTAAAAAATAACTGAATGCGGGATTCCATTTACTAAAGATTAGGATTTTCGAAGTCGGTGCCAGCCGACAATGCTTTAAGAAAATAAACTTTACAAAAATAATTACTATAAAACTAATGCTATAAAATTTTTTTATATAATAAGAAATAATAACCTGAATAACTGTAATTTAGATTAATATTTTTATCTATAACTATATTTTTCTATAGGGTATAAATAGTGTTAAGTAATCTAAATTAAAATAAAAAAATAAATATTTTAACGTTTACATTACCTATATAAAAATAATATTGCTTAGTTAAATAATTAATAATTTAATTTTCTTTATGGTTAAGTCATATTCAAATACAAAATACACATTCAAATAATAACAGCACTAATTATCAAATTATTATTTAATAGTTTTTATATAATATAGCTTAATTAAATTACAATTACTTATTAAAAATTAAAATGCTTAGAATTAAAATTAAAAAAAAATATTGTAAGGTATTTTGGTGCCATTTCAATTCATTTTGTTATTTTGTAGGTACACACTGTAAGCACAGAATAAATAATAGTACCTACTACGTACAGACGTTTCACTCTTTTGATGTTGACTGCTTGCCGACGTTTAATAGCCTACATTGGCCTACATAATTATTATTAATAAATAATTTGCGCTCGCAAGCCAAAAAAACCTTTATCGCTGCGCGCGAGTGTCCGTATTACTCTGAATCTCTTCTTCTTTCTACATCACGGCAATCACTGCTCTTTTTCCGTGGTTACTTAGGGCTGTCAAAAATGCGTAAAAAATTATGCGTATGTATAACATTAATAAAATTTATTTAATTTACAATTATTTTTTTACTTAAAATATACTTAATGTTTTTGCCGTCTCTAAAATACCGGTTAACGCTCCCTTTCTTTTAAATTCTGTCGTCAAATTGAAAAGGATTTGGCGCGTTGAAGCGCTGTGGAATCCGGGAACTCCCGGGTTCGATTTCTGACAGCGATAATTTGGAAGTTTATAATTTCTTTAAAACTATTTTTGTTTATTTTTTTTTAAGTATACGGTTTAATAATAAAAACAGTAATGTTAGCCCGCTTTCATCTATGACTGCTTCATCGCCATTCGCCAGGCGCAATCGCAGTGGATACAATAAATTTCAAGAACAACTCAATATTCAAGAACGATTTGTATTACAATATAGGTATGAATAAGAATAACTAACCTCTCCATTTTCACGCTAATCTTCAATGGTGATTTGATTCCACATTTAATTAAGTGGAATATAGGAACATGCAACAATATCCGCACGGAAAAATAATATAGTGATATTGCACCATATTAAAAACACATGTACCTACCTAATTGTATTCTAATTAGTTAAAAAATATTATAAACAAAGTTTTAATTTCATTGCTTTGTGATAACTTGTTTACAAAAGACATGTAAGTTAGCCACTTAGATCGTGAAGTAAATTTCAACTAAGTTTTGAAATAAAGTACTTAGGTATTACTTCTGTATTTAAATAAATTCTTAATTATTTTTGCTATAAGTATTTATTCAAGCAAAAAAAAATTAAATAAATATATGTTTCATTATTCTTACATAAAAAATGATATTATCTGAATCCTTTTGTTTGCTCATTAAGCATCCATCCACGCAACAATTATAGTAGTTTCGATGTTCTGCCATTATAATTTATTAAATAGATAGGTAATTTTGTAATATTTCCAAACCACATAAAAATTTTTGGACTATTTTATCCTACAATTAAATACACTAAACACTAAACAAAAATTACAAGTGTTTACAAAAACTATTCACGTAAACAGCGAATAAATTTGGTTTGCTTTGCAAAAAATTGGAATGCCCTAATTTGTTTGGTAGGTACCTATCTACTTTAGATTTCGTTTTTGTTACTTCATAATCTTAAGTTATTTTTTTGAGTCGGTTTAATACTTTTTAAATTAAGTCTTTTTTTTATTAAAATTGCGTTTATTTGCGACATTAGTTGTTGTGTACGAGCAGAGTAGTTTTATTAAAACTTAGAAGCAACAGATTAGTAGTAATAACAACAAACTTTTACTATGGAACCAACCCTGAAATCGTGAAAAAATATTTACTGATTCAAACATTTGGCAGAGTTTGGAAAACATAAATGTATGGAACAGGTGTTTTTATTCCGCGTATTCGATGTTTTTTTTTATAGAATAAAGATGACAAACGAGCACACAGTCCACCTGATGGTAAGTAGTTGCAGTAGCCCATAGACATGTACATT